CCTTGAAACTCTGACCGGACGCTACGAGGAGTTCAAGTCAACGGACCGCATACTAGAATATGTTCGTGCCTGTGGAAATAATGTAGCCTTGTAAAACGTAAAATAAATGAAAAATAAATGTGGGTGAAGAGCTTCGTGGGTCAATCATACACTTGGGTGAAATAACCGGGGGTGAAATACTTGTGGGTGAATTACGTCTGGGCCAAAGTTACGTTGGGTCAATAGCTCCTGGGTGAGTGGGCCTAGATCCGAGACCACGTCTCGCGTAACAGGCTTCGCGATATCTCACGAAACACTGGTGCGCTGCGACGTGCCTGGCATACATCTACCTAGGCCTGCGGCGCTGACACCTGAGTCGGGTAGCGCAAAAATGTACACAAAGATACGGGCCTCCTTATTTTCGTCAAAAACTCCCTGTGGCGCTTAAATGGTTAAGAATAGAGCCAAACGGACGAAATTTTCGCCCAGAGGGCTATACTTTACTGAGTTACCCCTTCGAAAACTTTAAAAACAATGTTTTTAAAAAACATTATTTGTGGGACCTGTGGTTTTTGATTTATAAAAAATCCAATTTTTGAGCTAGAATCCTCTTCTTTGAACTCGATCTGTCTTATTAGGATACAAAACGACCCTGAAAATCCCAGGTCGCTAGCTCAATAAAGCATCCCGGTAAAGCTGAAATGCAGAAGAATGCGAGGAACAAGAAAACGGAAGTCACCATGTTAAGGCATAGCGATTTCCGTTTTCTTCTTCCCCGCATTCTTCTGCATTTCAGCAGCTTCACCGGAATGCTTTATTAGTTCTATCGAGTTATCGTGGTGACAGACAAACAGACACACAGAGACAGACAAACAGACGCGAAACTTTTTGATCATCACTGGAGTAATAGGCTTCGCTAATCGCTCAGCCAGTGAGAGCGGATCGACCTACTCCTAGCTCGTCCCAGACAGGACTGTCGGCCCCGCGCGGCTCGCTCGTCGCTCAGTCGAGAAGCGGGGTCACTCACTGCGGGAACTCGCCGCCAGGGCGCAGCACCTCACGGTGGCAGTAGCGGCGTTACTGTAACGCGCTCACAGGCCGTGCCGTGAGCCGTATAGTGGGAGGCAGCGTGTCAACAGACGACCGAGTCGTCAGGTAGAGTGCTTAATGTTTGCAATAATTCCTAACGAGTCTCACTTCACAACACCACCCTTCCACTCTCTCCAAGAGTCCTTTCGCATAGGGGTTGCGAAAGTGGAAGGTGGCGTGAAGGAGTGTGGTTCCCCTCCTTCGGAGCGACTAAAACGTTGAGAAAACCCCCCTAAAACCAACGTCGGAACCCAAGGCTAAGGTTATAGACTGGCAAGGTTTGCTAGAGCTGGGCTGCCAGCTATCTGGCAAGCCCAAGTCAGTACCGGCCAAAATGCACTGTCTAAAACTACATAGATGTACACCAGACCACGTCTCGCGTAACAGGCTTCGCGATATCTCACGAAACACTGTTACGCTGCGACGCGCCTGGCATACATCTACCTAGGCCTGCGGCGCTGACACCCGAGTCGGTTGGTGCAAAAGTGTACACAAAGATACGGGCCTCCGGCCCGTCAACGGCCCGTCACTTTGACTAAGCATGCAGGGTTGTACATTTTTTCGCTTATTTTCGTCAAAAACACCCTCTAGCGCCTCAACGGTTTGAGCTAGAGCAAAACGGAGAAAATTTTCGCCTGAAGGGCGCTACTTTGACGAGTTACCCCTTCGGAGACTGTTAAAATAATATTTTTAAAAAACACTATTTTGGGGACCTGTGGTTTTTGATTTTTTGAAAATCCAATTTTTGAGCTAGAATGCTCTTCTTCGAACTTGATCTTTCTTTTTAAGACACAAAACGACCCTGAAAATCCCAGGTCGCTAGCTCAATTCGTTCTCGAGTTATCGTGCGCACAGACAAACAGACAGACAGACGCGAAACTTTTTGATCATCACTGGAGTAATAGGCTTCGCTAATCGCTCAGCCAACAATAAAAATTTGAGCCTTCTACCTCAAACCGTTCTCGAGTTATCGTGCGAACAGACAGACAAAAAAACAGACAGACGCGAAACTTTTTGATCGTCACTGGAGTAATAGGCTTCGCTAATCGCTCAGCCAACAATAAAAATTTGAGCCTTCTACCTCAAACCGTTCTCGAGTTATCGTGCGAACAGACAGACAAAAAAACAGACAGACGCGAAACTTTTTGATTGTCACTGGAGTAATAGGCTTCTTGGTCAGCCAAAAAATCAACAACCACAGGTCGCCAAATATCCTTTTTTTTCAAATATTTTTTTATGCGCTCCAGTAGTATAGATTACCCCTAGTGGCGGGCGGCCATTTTGATTACCCCTAGTGGCGGGTAACCCCTAGTGGCGGGTTCCCCTAGTGGCGGGTTCCC